ACTCACTCACCGCTAATGCTGCATTTTGCTTAACCGCTTGCATGTGTCTCCAGGATTAAATGGCTCCCTGCATCTCTCTGAATCTTGTAAGTTTTACATTACATTAAATGTATTTCCTATTCTGTTTTCTCTCTCTGCCCCCCCTCCTTGTCAGTCTGTCTTGTGTTGACCTGTGGAAAAATCACAGCAGGGTGTCGACTGCAAAAAGGATCAGGCTCCTGACTGATTGTAGTTTTCTTCCTGTCTTCAATTACCCGCCACAGGCAGAAAGAGGAGGCTGACGCAAACAAAAATGAAGAATTATGACCTCCATTTGAGTAAATCCCCTCCGTCCTGCGAGCATTGATTAAGCTGTTTCTGTTGTTGAAGCGGATGACAGCAGAAACCTGTCTCCGCTATCTAATTTTGTCGGCAATGCAACAAATCAACCTCCGACCCGCATCAAACTCGTAGGGCGAAAACACCATTAACGGGTATTTTCTCCGCATGAATAAGATTTGACATCTTAATTTTCCTCTACAAACAAGAAAGCTACTCAGTCACGTCACTGAGGGCAGACTTCTCATCCCCCATTCCCTCAGGTCATTTGATTACATAATGTTATTAGAGATGAGGAGACGATTAATATTTTGATACTGCTTATGTTTATATACAATATTCAGCCCCCGCTGCTCTGCATGTAGTTAAACATTATAGATTAGTTAAAGCCACAGAAATGGGGACAGATTTTCTATCGGCACATTGACATAAGTGTCTCAAGTGTAGTTCTTGAATTCGTTTGATGATATACTGTTATGTCTCAATTACATGAACCCATTCACACTTAGTGCCGCTAACCTCGGCCTCATATGCTCATTAATGGTGCCCTCTGCCTCAGGACACGTTGACATTTGTGTGCAGTGCAGGTGTGCAGTATAACCGGCCTCAGCAGGTAATGATGCATGAGATTTTCCCAGTTAGCCGCGCTACACTATATGCATTCACAGAATGCAGGCAAATCTGCTACAAGGGCAAAGTCTGACCACTGACTTTGTGCTGAACTGAAGATATCACCCTAACTTACACAGTAGAACCCTCTATGCTGTGTTGAAGCTTCATGTGGACACTGGTGGGGTGTTTTGTTGATTTTTTACCAACCTCATGCTCAAGTTATGTTGTAAACATTTAATGATCCTCATGGCAAAAGTTGGTCAATCAAACCTGTGGCCACTGCAGGAGGCCTCAAGCATCTGTTGGTTTTAATTAACCAGTACCTAAATATATGTAAGTATCTAAAGAAAAGTGGTTATTTCACCTTGTGCCCCTCAGAAAAGAAGAGCATTCTGGACTTTTGGCTCCTCCACATTGCTAAATTGTAAATGACAACATAACATAACCTTATTTCAGTTACAGAGTTTCAATATCACTTTAGTATCTTTAGTGTACTGCTCATTAAAGTCAAATCACAACCAACAATGATCACCCTAATCTGAAAACTCACATCTACCCTAGAATGACCTGTGTGTATCTAGGCAGTGGTAAATTCCAAACTACATCAACTAGTGTCCCAAAAAAGCTGTTAGAGTTTAATCAATGTGAACTTGTGGCTGCACAACAGAACGACTTGAAAACCTCAAATGTGACAGCGGAGTCTTAAATCTCATTTCTAACAATAATGAGACTGGATATCATCACAGGAGGGCTGGCTCACCGCCATCACGTTTCATAGTTCAATAGGCATGAGCATCTCGGATATATTTCCTGGATATATGACGTTAAAAATTAGCCAAGCAATGCCTTTACTTCATTAAATGAGTACAATGTCAACAGACATTGACAGTACTGATAGTACTGGCACTGTATCACTTAAAATGTCCCAGCAAAAGGCTTCGGAGTCCGTTCTGACAACAAACACTACACTAAACTCCCATAACATACCTGCTCCAGACAATATCTGCTGCAAAAATAACATGCAAGCAGCCCTGTCAGGATTATTGTTCCTGGACACAGACACTGTTTTCCTATCTTGGCTCTGACTGTATTTTCTAAGCTGCAAGTGAGGTTAACCGATATGTCTGGAAGGTTATTTGTTTCCACGCTGGACAGTATCTGCACTTCATGCTTTACTGTAAAGTGACAGGCACATTTCAAATTCTGAAATATTCAACATCTTGCTCAGGAATATGACACATAGGAGCTGCTTTTCCTTTTAACATGACCACACTGCTCTCAAACAAACTCCAAATTTGTAAGTTTGTAAATATCTATATGTGTACTTACTTGCTGTTGGGCCACGTAAATCACAGACCAAATCTGTTTCTACTTCATCGTATATACAATGTTTTGTTAATGAATTAGTGGAAATAATTTAATAAGCCGATAAATATGAATGCCAGATGGAGCACATTAGAAATATTTTCACATTTTTATTGGGAGTTTTTGCGAGAGTGGAGGAATACCCATAAAATAAACTACGAGCATTAACTTGACCAACAGTTGAACCTGGTAAAACTGTACCTGTGCGCATTTGGTCCACAGGGAGAAACAGAGCTTGAAATTTCTTTCTGAAAAGTTTACTCCAGCTCCAGTGACTGTGAGTTGATGGAGTCGATGCCGAATAGACCTGCTCCTGTTGAGCAAACAAGATCAGGGAAGATTTTCCAATGCTGTGGTGTTCAGATCAGTTTTTTCTCCTTCAAACAGATTAGAGATAAAAGATTAGAGATAATCAAGTCTTGGCCAATGATTTAATTTATTTTGTCTCAGCATCTTAACTCCTGAATATTTATTATAATAGTATGCAAAGCCAAAACATAATCCATTAAAGGAAATACTGAATTTAGGTTATACTCTTAAATATATATATATTTAACTTAGCAGCTTGTTTACTTATACAGTTGTATTCATCACTGAATTCCTAAGGTTATAAGAAGAATAAAAAAAAATCAGTTGCTAGTGATGAGGAAAACGTCCTTATTGTGATGATGATAGAAACAGATGCTGCAGATTAATTTCCAGGTGTAGCAACGTGACCTCTTCCCTCCCCCCTGTTCATCTCCCGTCTTCACTTTTACATTCTGTCTACTGCAGAGCTCGTCAGCAGCTGTCTCCACCTGCTTCTTTTGGACATTGAGGTTGGACACAATGGCGCTGGGAAATCACATGTCGTATGACTTCATGGTAGATGACTTTAATATCCGCCACAGTAGCCAGAGAGGCTATACGCTAGAATCGTTCAATAGCCAATGAAGCCGCGGGCCACTAAACCAATATGGCGTGCTACAGCAGAATGGATGTGTTCCATGGAAGCTCTGTCGGTCGCAGTGTAATTTAATCCAGCCCTTAGGACAAGCATCTCTCAACAGAAATGGGAAAAAAATGTTCGGAATAGAGACTTGGGGGACTGGATGAATCGTATAACCCTGTGCTAACCCCATCTACGCGCCCAACTTCAGACACTGACATTTTTCCCTCGTCTCATTTTGTATGACTGTCAATGTAAATTGGCTATAAAAGCAAAGGGAAATCTGGTTACTTTTATCAGACAAATGGGTAAACACCTGGCTGTGGAAGCGGCCTGTAGGAAGGGTTCGAGGCTATTTGTTCTGCGGACAAGCTTGAGAAGGGAAACATTTATTCACCATGGAAACAGTGGCAAACATTTTTTACTCGGGTCCCTAACTCCACAGTGTAACGGAGGGCAGAGAGAGAGAGAGAGCGAAACATGTGAAACGACAGGCGACTTGGCGGGCTGTCGGTTAAAAGGCTTCATAAAAAGGTGCCAATTTAGAAAACAGATCTCAGCGTGTTGCGCTCAGCTCGGCTACTGAGTCTTTCAACGCCGTCTCTGAGAGAGAGAGAGTAAGAAAACACAAAGACGCAGGGATTTGACAGCCACCGGGAGCTGCATTAACACCAGCTGATACATTTTTACAGATAAACAGATAAACAGGAGTGTTAACTGTCAACTGTCATCCTGCTTGATGAAAGGGAATTCCTGCAGTTTTCCCCTCAATTATTGGCTCAAAAAGTGCACAAACCTCTCCTTCCCCCTCAACAGCTGAAGTAATAAATGCATTACACTGCATGATACCGCACTAATGCAGCCCATATGAGAACATAGCTGTGCTTCCTATTTTGTAATATCAGCGAATCCCTATGACGAATGTGTTTGGAGCGGGTGGCGGTGACTGCGCCCACTGACGGCGGCTCTTCCATGTGCGTACAGTCTGCAGTGGGAGGACAAACTCCACTCAATTCCACTCTATCACCTTGCTTTGATAAAACCTAATTTCCCAGGGGCTTCAACTTCAGATGAACTCAGTTATAGGCTCAGTTCTTATTCCAAGAAGAAGACAACTTAACATCTAGTGTGAGCTGAATAGGACTCGTAACGTAATGCAGAGAGGAGGGTATTTTTTTATATATACAGTATTGTGCAGTGGGGGAAAGTGAGCTATAACTTTCAAACTGTCTCAATTTAACTCCCCCATGAATTCCATTGCCATTTTAGGGAAGAGTTTTTCCCCGAATGATTAGAGCGGTGTGAAAGGCTTGGCAGAAAGCGGAGCATGAAAGCACCCACTCGGATTCACTGTAATGCCTCACTCAAAGCTCTGTAGTGAACTTGTGAAAACATGTGTGTCTGTGTGTGTGTGTGTGTGTGTCCTTGCTCTGTTGTGTTAAAGGAAAATCTTTAGGTCAGGAAAAGGCCATGTAGGTTTTTCAGTTCACGACATGTTGGGTTATGTGCTTTCATGGTTATCAGTGAATGCATCTGGGATTTTTATGCAGCTTTTAGAAAATCATGATAGTACTAACTGACTGCAGTATCACTGCAGCTCTATATGTTATCACTGTGTCTACACTACATACAAAGAGGGGATGAATTAAAGGAAACATCCAAACAAATACAAGAAAAAACCAAATGACAAAGACAAATGTAGATGATTTGACTTTATGTTGGTTTTTCCTTTCATTTGTCACCTGTCACATGTAATGCAATCACGACAAGCACTCACAGATGTAGTAGTATTCTCTGCCGGGTCTGAACTCGAAGCCCAAGGAGAAGGGAGTGAAGAGCTGGAACTTCTCCGAGAACTTGAGCGGCCCGTTCGGGGAGTGCGGCCTGTTGCACTCCCAGCGCTTAAAGCCCTTGGCGGTGTGATCACATGTGCTGTAGCCGTCATAGTTGACCATGTAGAGGACGTAGCGCTCTGTCCGCTCCTCTGGCACCGTGTCTTCGTAGTGAGGACAGTAGACGTCCAGGTAGTCATTTATGCATACGTCAATGTGGTAGTCCCCACGATGGAACCTGAAGGGAAGAGAGACAGGAAGAGGTTAACCTTTCTGGTATTTAAATGAAGTACAGTACTCGAAATTCTGAATGATTTTCATGCCCTCCAGAAGTTACTTGGGAAAATCCAATAATCATAATAATTCTGTGTGTTTATGCACCAGCATTGCTTCAGTTGTTGTGGTTTGAATTCAGTACGTATACATAGACAAAGGAGGTTAGATCAGTTTTCTTTCAGGGCTATGTGGAAATTTACAAGCACCAGCGCTCTTGTCCTCTGGCTTCAATAAATATGGGAGGGTTGGTTTATCCATAAATCTATCATTGCAACAGATATTTACTCACACATACACAAATCTGCCTTCTGAGTGATAGCAAACGGACGTATTTGACTCTGGGTAAATATGCTTCAAGAAAACAGCTTTTTCTTTTTACTCTTTCATAAAATAAGAGACTTAACTCGGTCAAAAACACCTAAGACAACCTCGGGCTGAGTGCAAAGTTGACATAATCTGAGGGATACAAGATGGCCCAGACAGTAAATGTCATGACAGGAAAAATACGTAGCCTGGCTGAGCAGTGAGGCATCTTTACAGCTGCAATGATCTAGAACAGGCCACACAGGGTCAGAGGGCTTCCATATATAAAGGCATATTCATCAAAAGGGCACGCACTGACACAACCTTAAATCACACACACACACACACACACACACACACAGTTGCATGTCTGTTGCCCGAAATATAGCCCTTCTACCTGTGGAATTTTCACAGCTACTAAAATTGGAAGAGCAATTCCTGTGTTGCTAGTTTTGGGTCTAGAATTGTACGACCCTGACTCTTGGGTCACAGGAGACTTCCCAAAGAAAATATTGGACACCTGGAGACTTGAGATTTAGCACACACACACTTGAAGTTCTTTCCGAGTGAAGTTGCAAACCACAAAGTTGCACAAGTAAACACACACGCAGCTGGTGCCACCGACTCATTTTACCTGGGGGGCAGGTGGTGTTGGTTTGTAAGTGACAATGTTGTAACAAGACTTCTGACAAAACACACACAAGGGGGCAAGGTGCCAAACAGGCTGAAGTCATTTTATCCTGAGGACTCTGGAGCTTTGGGATAAACTGAAGCGGGGCTCGTGCAGGATAGTGACCTCTTTAACCTTTACTGTTTCCCTCATCTACAAAAATCCATTAACGTCCTAAAGATTTTTTTAAGATATAAAATTCATGGCTCCTTTGAATGGATGGGGGTTATAAAGAGTATGCTTTTAATTTGTTCTTTCATTCAGTCTTAAAATACCATCTGAGGAAAAAATTTGATTTTTTTCATTGATTGGCACCAAATGTCTCAGACTTCAGATGCTGTAAAAATTACAGTGCTGCACAATGCAGTAAGAATGTCTCTTTCTCATCCCTGTCACTCATTCCACCCACTTATTTGCTTTGCACTGCTGTTCTGCTTTTTCTTCTTCTTCTTCTTTTCTTTTCCTAATGTGATGTTTGAGTTCATTCTCTAAAGGATTTTAAGATCAAATAGCAGTTTACGCACTGAAAACTCTTGTGCTGCTTGGCTGCGTCTACTTCAATCTCAGAAAAACTCCACAGAATTACATTTGCAATGAGAACCAGACCACTTGTTTTGAAGATCAAATAACAATTTTGATGCCTGCCCCTTGTCACTTAATTCATGTTGGTATAATCAAATGATTAATGTAACAGCCAAGCAACAAATCCAAACAACAGTCATTTCTCATTACTGTGATCATATGTGTCCTCTGGCTCTGCTCTGTATGAATGTGTATGTGAGCATGAGCTAGCATGAAATGTTGTTTATCCGGGTTTACCCATGTAGGGTAAATACCAATGCGAGGGTGTTTACAACCAAGGCATGGAGGAGCTCATCTGTAACATCTCATTTAAAACATGTCTGTGGAGGTCCAGGAAGAGAGGAACTTAATGATCACATCCTCCCATCCGCTTACCACAGCATCTGTGTGTATGAGTGTGTATATACGTATATGCAAATGTATGTGCAAATCTGAATGCGTGTGCGTGTGTGTGTGTGTGTGTGTGTGATGTTTCAGCTGCCCTTCTCTCTTTGCCTCTGCAGCCAGAATAGTGGCTTGTGGCCCTGACTGCAAATTAAACTGAGGATGTTTGGGTGAGTGAGCACATTAAAAGGGACAGGATGGGCATTTGTAGCACATAACACACACCCACACACATATATACAGTATAAACGTGCAAACATATATTTAATAAATACACACCTCCACTGGCAGACGTTAAAGGTTTGTGTTATCAGTCCAGTGTGCTGTGCCTGGCACATTGGCAAAGGAACAGAAGTGAGACAGCCAGAAGCTGCTAATGGCACAGAGTGAGAAAGTGGGTGAGAAACAGACAGAGAGAGAGAGAGAGAGAGAGAGAGAGAGAGAGAGAGAGAGAGAGAGAGAGAGAGAGAGAGAGAGAGAG